GGTCGTGGTCTCTCCCTGCAAGTTGTGAAGAGATTCGGGCCATGCTGCATGAAGACTGACCAAAGAGCTCTACTGGGCCGATAATGGAAGCCACTAATAGTGATGAGAACATACCAAGCCACTGAATATCGTGCTGACTGAAGACAAGGGAATCATAGATTTGATACCATCACGGACTGACTACAAAGACCATGGCATTTGTTACCGGTAACCCATACACACACTCACATTAGTATAGGGAATTCCAGAGGCTGTAGTATTGATTGTTATTATTATTATTATTATTGATTGTATTGTTTGGAGACACTTAGTTATTGTACGTGCTATTGCATAAGTGTATTAAATCTATGAGTTTATCAATATTGTGTTTTCATTACATAAGAGAGACGTTATACCCTGCAATTACTATCTTACGATTCCAATCTGGTTATGTATCGAGAGGACCCATGTGGCCCTGTTTGGTATGGGTAAAGTAAAAGAACCCACAATCATGGGCGTTGGGTGGTATCCTTCACGGACAGGATTGTTTGTGCTGAATATCATTCAACCTTGTGACATTTGGTGTACAGCCAGTACAGCCGTAGCAAATAAGTACTCATTCATGTCTTCAAGCATAAGTATTGTTACGCACGTATGAATGTAAAGTAATGTAAGTTATATAAGATGCAAGAATACCGGCATTTAGAAGATATACTTATTAGAAGCCGAAATCGGTTTTCGTACAATCGGTTACGACTGAGTTTTTCTGCACTGGTATAGTAGAGTGATCTCAAATCACCGGATTGCACGAGAGGTTCTCTGTTTCCTCAACGAAGATATACGTTCCTATAGTAACTTCAAATATTTAGGTGCTCTAAATTACAATGGACAATAAAGAAACTTGGAACACAAACGATCTGCATTCTCGCCACACTGTATAGCTAGACCGCTTTAAATATTAGAAAGTCTTAACTGCCTGCAGGTGGGTTTACAGATGGGTGGTCGTCCATTATTTTCTAAAAGTTCCGAATAAAATTGGCAACGTTCCCTGTCTCGACCAATATGTTTTATTTTGAAGGTTGATCGCGGTACTTTCGCGGTTGTTATGATGATAATGAGAAAGGTTTCACTCTTATCTAATCAATCATAATGAATATTCAATCAAGTATGACGTACCACAACTTCCCGTTCTTGGCCCTCTTTTGTTTTATTTGTATCTTTGTCAATGATTTTCCATTGACTATAAGCAACTCTTTTCACTTAAACGGTTCGCAACACAACATATTATTGATTGGTGTTAATATGGAATATAAACAGGGTTGCATAAGACATACCTTAGAGAATGAAAATAAAAAGATACACAACATGCATTTGATTACAATCAGAGTAATCCCATAGATGGGTAAACAAAAACAAAAAACAGAAGATCCGTATAATATTAAATTACATGAAATCCATTATCAAATTATTGTCAAACTCACACAACGTTTTTGTAATTGAAATACAATGAAACATTTCTTGTATTTTAATATTTCAGATCAACTTCCCGATGATAAGAAGATGGTAAAAGCAAACCACTGTAAACCCGTCGCAATTATCGGCGGTACTATCCTTAGTGTTATTGTTATTGTGATAATTATCGTTGTAGTGATTGTAGTGGGTGAGTAAATATGAAGTTCATACATTATAATAAAATCACTGAACAGAATGGTCTCAAATTTCCCACATTGATAGGCTATAATGCAAATTGTTTGTTGTTAAATTTGTTCGGCGGCCAATTTAGATCGACGGCAAGGGGATATGATATTTTAAACTCGCTATGCGGATCTCAATATTCTGGCTATTGTGTGAACCTAGTATGTGATTTTATTTCCGTGTGTAAAATCATTTATAAAAAAAATAAAGCAAAAATGGCGACATAATTTAGCCCCGGTGAAGTCCTACCGAGTAATTAATATTAAGTCAGTCAGTCCTTCACAAAACAGGTTACTTAACATTTGCATAATTTAGAATGCGTTACATTTTATCATTGACGCCCGCCTTGTCAAGTTTTTATATAGCTACACTTTTTGACTCTTTCAAACGCCTTAAAATGTTTAAATCTATCTAAATGCCAAGTAAAAACGACGATCTTTAGTTGTGAAATTTGTTTCGACTAGAATATGGATAAAATAAACTGTTACCTAAAATGGCTTGTTTGGTTCTGAAACCTGCTTGTTCATCCCACGTGTTTGAGCTAATGTATAATACAGGAAATCTACCAGTATCGAAAATACGAAAAATAGAACTGCAGAAATGATAACATTCTGGATGATTAATAATGCTGTTTTTAATTTCCTCGGTTTGTAATCGAATAGTTTGGAATATTCGATCCGTATATTGACTGATCTGTGTCATACTAGTATCGCTCAAGAAATGATGTACTCATGTCTTCATATCACTGATAGTATTATGATTATTATCAATATTTCGGTTAAATAACAATAATATTATGTCTTTGGCCCGTTTTTAAAGAACTCCCAAAATGTTTTATTTTCATTTTCTTGCGCTACATTTCTAATTCTCTAACGCTTCTTATTTTTTTAACAAAAATAAACACAATTGGAACTATTTCGGGATA